GCAGTCATCAAAGCCTCACCCCAAAAGTGTTTGCATAGCTTTGCACTTGACAACAAGCATCTAACTCTCTCCACAATTGTCATGTTCATCCTCTTAGCAAGACCATTCAGATGTGGTGTCTTCGAGGGAGTAAATTGATGCCTAATACCTTGCTGCTTGCAATATGCATCAAATGGCCCAATGTACTCTCATCCATTATTAGTGCGAATGCACTTGATCTTCTTCTCAGTTTCTCTCTCAACGGAGTCTTGGAATTGCTTGAATACACCTAGTACTTGATCTTTGGTCCTCAAAGTGAAGGCCCAAACTTTCCTGGAAAAGTCATCAATAAAAGTCACAAAGTACTTAGCACCACCAAGAGATCTTACCGACATTTTGCAAACATCAAAATGTATCAAGTCCAGCTTCTCGGGCTTCTTGTGAGGAGGTAGAGTCTTGAAGGCAACTCGGTGTTGCTTCCAGTGTTGGAAAAAGCAGTGCCTAGGTGGCGCTTAGGCACGCCTAGGCACTAGGCCATAACCAACCGCCTTGCCTAGGGCAGAGGCGGAAGCCTAGGCAGTGCAAGCAATAAATTGTCCACTCAAGCGAGAAATCATGTCATATTTTGTTGATAACCCAAATGGGACATATTCCAATGGACATTAGATGTTAGTTTAATAATTTATATGCTATAAATTATGTGTATGTGTATATAATACCGCAAACATGCCCTAATAGTCAAAATTATATGACTGCCTAGGCCACGCCTAGTGCGCTTAATCACCGCCTAGGCATTAGGCAAAGGCCAACCGCCTTGCTTATGCCTAGCGCTTTTTACAACATTGGTTGCTTCCCTGCTAGACAATCTGAACATTTCTTGATGTGAAATCCTTTCACACCCTTCAACATTTTTTTCTTCACTAGCACTGTCATCCCCTTCTCACTCATGTGCCCAAGTCTCTTGTGCCATAGAGCACAATGATCATCCTTCTCTAGTGCATTGACAGAAGCACTAAAGAGCTTAGCATGAACATGATACAACACTGAGACCATTTTACCTCTTGCAACAATCATGTTGCCTTTGGTGAGCTTGTACTGCCCTTTTCCAAAACTGCTCAAGTAATCATCTCTATCAAGCAAACCAACCGAGATAATATTGAGACGAAGTGCCTCGACATGCCTCACAGATTTGAGGACTAACCTTGTACCATTTGCGGTCTCCAAATGCACATCTCCTTTTCCAATGATGGCTGCTCTGTCATTGTTCCCCATCTTCACAACACCAAAATCACCTGATATATAGTTAGTGAAGAGCTCTCTGCAAGATGTAGCATGAATGGTAGCACCGCTATCCGGTATCCAAATCATCTCGTCACCGTCCACAAGGTTAACGGTTTCATCAAAAATAACATTGATCTTCTCCTCAACAGCGGAACCAAATATGCCCTCATTTTCTTCATGCATAACAAGCATGATGTCCTCTTCTACTGCAGTAACTCGGTTGCCCTCTATGTCACTATCACTGTCAACTTGCTTCTGATCTTGCTTCTTCTTTTTCTTTTTGTCTTTCTTCCACTTGTCACATTGCCACTTAATGTGGCCCTTCTGATGGCAGTGATGGCACTCATAATCAGCATACTTACTTTTTGATTTGCCCCTACCTCTTTCTGCCCCTTTACCTGGACCTCTGCTCTTACTTCTCCCCCTGGACTGAGTGACCAACACCTCTGAATGTGAGGAAGAACTAGCTTCAGCCACCTTTCTGGACTCTTCATTTAGTACCCTGGTTTTCACAAGATTCCAAGTGACAACTCCATTAGGTGCTGAATTGCAAACCGTGACCTTAAAGGTCTCCCAGCTGTCCGGTAATGAGCCTAGTAGCAGCAAAGCTCTTTATAATGCCTTGGAATGTATTCACATGATCTGCAATTAGAATGCCCTCTTTGTACCTCAAGCACATCAACTGTTTGATCAAGAACATCTTGTTTGTACCTTCTTTCCGGGCAAACAACTCTTCCAATTTTTGACATAAGGTGTGTGCATGTGTCTCATCAATGATATGGTTCAAAACATTGTCATCGACCCATTGCCAGATGAACCCACAAGCTTGGCGATGAAGTACCTTCCACTGACCTTCCTCAATGCCCTCCGGCATCTCAGTGGAGAACACTAGCTTCCAGTATTCTTTCACATACAACAAGTCCTCCATCTTGCCCTTCCATGCTTGATAATTTATACCATTCAAAGATATCATCCTGCTGGTATTCACTTCCATCTTTCACCACAAGAAACTCAGCAATTTGCACAAGCAAATCAAGACTCTGATACCACTTTTTTGGGGTTGGATAGCAACAATGCGCTGCACAAATTCACCGACATGGCAAATATGCACACTACACAGCCCCCTCCACTTGTGATGAACTTTGAGGACAGCTTTAACCAACAAGTAAGCAGCGGAATAACACAAACAACATGCACATGTGACACAAGATTTAACGTGGAAAAACCTCCTCTACTTGAGGAGTAAAAAATCACGGTTGTGGACTGACCGGTCCATGCAACTTCACTATGAGAATAATGAGTACAAAGTCTGCTCTAGAACCTCTAGAGAGATTTACAACACACTCTTCACGTTGCCAACCGGCAACAGCAACAACAACCACAAGAAGCAAGATTTCAGCAAAGCAGAGTTTACACAGCTTCTGTACCCTTCAGTGTTTTGCAAACTGCTCTTAAACCGCTGAACCAAACAACATCAAATTTGACAAACAAGTAGACACATGCGTTCTTGACATCCTCTCCAAATTTCAGCTCAACCGGACATCATTTGCCTACCCAAACTGTTCGTCTCTCAAAACTACTCTGTTCTGAAACTGCAGCAGTCAGAGCTGACAAAACCACTCTCAAATATGATGCTCCACTGACCCAATCCTCAAACCAGTTAACCAGAATGAAGGAAGCAAAGTAAGGAACGAGATCACCAAGTTTGGGGTCGATCCAAGCACATTTGAGCCTCCAACCACCAGCTTGAACACTGTCTAGTCAGATGCAGCAAATCTGGACAGAACCTCTGCTTCTTCTTCTTTCTCTCTCTCAGATTGTGTTTTCTCTTGTGTGCTCTCACTCTCACTCTCACGAATGGCAGCCACCACCAGCAGGGGTGGAGTGGCTAGGGTTTTCTCCTTGCTCCCTTCAACAGGAAATACTCACAATCGTTGGATGCAGAACAGATCAACGGTTCATATGTGTTGGACTTGTGTGGGTTGATGTTGTGCTGCCAACACACCTCCATGTAGAGGGACTTAGCCCAACACCAGTTTGTACAAATGAGGGTGTTACAATGCTACATTGTGTACTATATCTTAACCATGCAACTAAGCAAAAATCTAATGTGGTACCCAATTCAATGAGGAAAGAGAGAGCAACCTTACCTTAATCTAGATATAGATCTTGGTAGAAAATCCAAGACATTTCAACAGAATTCTCTCACAGAAGACATTAAATGAGGGTTGTACTAGATACAACACTAAGATATAGGAAATTCAATTCGGCTCTTGGGAGCATATGCTCCCGCCCATCAAAAATATTTTTTGCAGACGTCCAAAAAAATTGAAAAAATAGATGTATTCATTGTCACACTAAAATGCTACCTGCAAATATTTAGGAGGAAAGATCAAGTATTTTGATCTGTGCAAAAAGAAAAAACAAGTCGAACGACAAATGTTACCTCCAAATGTTACACTTATTTTTGTTTTTTTTCACTGACGAAGCACCGTCATCCCGTTTCGCATGAAAATTATCAAGCACAGTTATTACACTAACAAGAACATCTACAAAAAAGAATCAGAATTTTTAAATTTTATTTACTATTTATTTTGAATTTACTGTTCATTAGGGAGCATATGCACCCCAGAGCCAAAACGGCCCTCCCGGTATATCATATATTCAATGCTATTAGATTTAGATAGTACACTGAGACTGCCTTGACAATGATATGATCAAAGATCTTTGTATATCTTGTTTGAGTGAACAAGCAGTAAATGTTCTCTATAATAAGTCTATAAATATAGCACGTCATGTATGCTTCTTGAACCCCAAGTAGTAGAAAGGAGAACAAGAGGAAAACTATTCTGCTTTGCCTTATGGTGCTTCTGCTACTAGGAAATTCCACACACGCTGGTACGAAATTGATCTCTCTATTCCTATGTATGTGTTTCCTTTTAACTTCCAACTGGAGTAGAACAAGTCGTCATGAATATGGCCTGGAATATGACCCTTTAATTTGGAATTGTTTTACTGATGTATGTATGTATGTTGTCTGCAGAGCATTGCCAAACACACAGTGTACCGGCCATTGCGTGCATAACAATAAAATGCCGGCTTTGGTGCCAGCATGTGTGGAACCACGTCAAGGAAGCCTACTGCACCGGCAGGCCTATTTTTGACAGTCACTGCGTTTGCGTCGTTTGTGACCGAGTTGCACTCTAGCATCATGTCAAATAATGGACATTGATTTCCAGTAATAAAATCTCATGCGACAACCAATTTTGGGTGTTATGTCTGATTTGATTTTGACGTGCGTACTCTTAGATTTAGTGATTTTGTGTTTGGCTGGCCTGGCAGTTAGTAAATTCGGAAATAACAATAAGAAGGCAGAGGTGCAAATAAGGAACGAACAAATGTCATTTCTTTTACACTGAACATGTCACATGATACATCGTCATTACAACAAAATAGTCCAGTTCTTCGAATGGCAGAGAAAACATGTATGGTACTAACATCTCAGCCTCTCACTTCATGTAATCCAATCTAGTGCAAAACACATGCCAGCTACAAGTCTGCAACCCTATCCTGCATGGCCCTCACACGAGTCTGTAATCCAATCACGTAAGGGCATCAGGCGATACACAGAAGAACCAATGGCCGCCAAGGAAGCGATTAACCGTGAGGGGACACTTGCACGTTGGGTTCCCCGTCTGCAGGGTTTCATTCACAACAGACAACTCTTTGGGCAGAGAAGATCAGATAGATACATGCTGATGCACAACATTTCTAACACTTGGGAATCGATCAGCCCAGCGCCTATAACCTGCAATCAGTACAAAAAAGGAAGTTAGATGATGGTGTTTCACATGACCCACATCGAATGAGGGCCGCATTTTCTTCCTCTTCTTTTGTAAGATCAACAGGTTACTGTGTTTACCTGATGCAATGATTTGCTTTTGGTTAAGCTGTTCGCTATCATCGTCAGGGATATCCTGTAGGACAATTCAGAAAGCCAACATCAAGCAAGCATATCCAGAAATAGAAAAAAGAAGCAAACAGGCAGGAGGCAGGAGGAAAAAACTAACTGAAGAGATGATGTCATGGTTACCTGACGCAAGCTTCTGACAATAAGGTCAGACAAACTCCCAAGGGTCTTGGGGTCAAAACCAGAGCAGCTCGAGAGGAACTCTTCAGATGTCAACTCCATCACCATGGCGCATAAGCTGGATGCTGTCATGACGACTGATGAAGCATCTGTTGTTCCTATATGCTCACACACATTCATACTTAATGATAAGTTCACATTCAAGACAAAAGAGAGCTACTGGTCATCTCGTGAAGAGAATCAACAGGAAAATGGGTATCAATATTTAGCGTGATATTTAGGTATGGATTAGTTCATCTCTCCTCGGCTAATCAATATCTCTACCAGAGCTAGATCCTAGTATCCTGCTATAGGAGTACATGCAACAGATGCCAGATCTGCCAACAGGCAGATATTCAAGCAGCAATAAAATTCTTGCCATGGTCATGGTTCAGAAATAAGTGCCGGGTTTCCATCAAAGTTTGTCCATATATGATCTGACATGTTTTGAAATGGTGCTGATTTACGACATTAATGACACCATTTGATCATCAATGTTTGCAGTGATGTGTATTTGTACTACTTAGACATCAAAACTTCAACAGCTCATCTGTAAGAATTTGAAAAATAAAAAATAGATGTAAACTGCCCAGCAGCGGTTTTAAGATCAGAACAGTTTTCTGAACCTTCGACAGGACAACTATGCACAGACCAACAGAGGGAAGTAATTTCTGAAGTATGCTTGATTCCAGTTACAATGTTGAGAATAAACAAGATGCAGACATCTAGAGGCAATAGTCTATTCCCAAATTTGAAATGCCTACAGCTGAGAGCCACCCTACAAAACAATATGAAAGTACATCCATTTAAGCTTACGTAAAGAAATTAGGAGCAGAATGTACCAGCCCATGTAGTAAGTGCTTGCAAGAGGTGGATGAAACAAGGCTCCATTTGAATAGGATAATTCTTCCTCTACATAAGAACAAATATGCTATTAGATTTTCTCATGCTAGGTAAGAGACTGTCTTGAACCTTGTAGTTACTCACATTTGACATAATGTTTATGATAGTATCACATGCCAAAAACATGCTACCATCGTCGATCATCATTCCATTCTCCTCGGTCATTTTAATGAGGCAGTCTATAACCTGTAAACACAAAAACAACCAAATGAGTTGTACAGTCGCAGGAAAAAAAATGAACAAAAAATGACAACTGTGTTATGCGAAATTTCTATTTGAACAGTTGGCGAACCATAATGCAGTCATTTCATATTTTCATGGAGTCACTTCAAATAGTAAACCTCGCATATAATGTGATTAGCACCTAGAAGGAACTACCACAACTATGCCATGACACCTTTATAATGTAACACCCCTGTACCAAGGTAAAATAATATTTGTATAAACACTGAATATTAGCTCTTGCTAGCTCTAAGCCAGGGTGCATAAGGGAGGGGGGTCAGACTACAATTCCATTTAGAAATTTTGAACACCACAGATTGTTCAGAAATACATATATATTTGCAAAAACTATTTTTTTCTAGAAATTAGTAAACCAGAAAGATACCCAGAAATGATAAAAGGTTCAATTATAATTTTAAAATTGGAAAATGGGTGTTACAATGAACAAGTATAATCAGCATTATAAATTATTTCAAGGACAAAATAAGCAAAGGAGTCACAATTATTATAAAGTTAACAAATATGCCTACTTACTGCTTTATAGCCTCCAAATGACACCAAAGTTCTACATCCATCAGCTGTCGTCGTTATTTGTGATAGCATTGGAAGCATGAAGCGAACAGAATAGAAGGGGCTGTTGGCAAGAATGTTAGTTGGTACCATCATCAATAAATTGCACTACAAAGGAAGATGCTCGGTTATGCGCAACACCTTCTGAGCACAAAATGGGCAAGCAAATACCTTGATTCATCTTGACCTTCGATAGAAAAGATAAATTCCAGTAGATGACCAGTCTTCTCCTGGCAAGCATATGGTGCCTCTGCCAGATAGCTGCAACAGAGTAACACACAGATGTAGCTTCTATTTAAGGGATTACAGGATGTTTGAAACAATTCACTCGTACAATAATCAATAATTTTGTTTAACAGCTTATGTGAATGATGTGCATAGGAAAATATGAAGTGGCTAAAGTACACATTATTTGTTTGTTATTGTCAAAAGCAGTGACACACTTAACCATTCCCATCAAACTGAGTAGTCAGTTCGTCACTATAAGTACAACCATGAGGTGGAACTAGTACTTAG